CCAGAGTGGAACCTGAAAAGGGTGAAAGGACAAATCTGATGAAATTACAGTTAAGTAGCTAGAAACATTTTTATAAACAGTATTGATATTAAGAGCAATAAAAATCAGTCCAGCATCTCCACTTAAGGGAAGAATTTCAAAGAGTGAACATTTGTCTTCTCAAAATTTCAGTTTTCATTCTGAAAATATGGTTTTTAAGCATCACTTGTGTACAAGCACTGAACTAGTTTCTACAGGACATGCAAAAATGAGTAGAACATAAACTATATCATAAGAAAGTTGTGGTTCAGTAGCATATAGTAAGTTGAGAGTACAAAGGAACGTAACAGCAGATAAATTAAGGGCAATATGCTGTGGGCATAAATATTACTTTTAGATGAAGCAACTAAAAGAGAGGATGGAGGAAATAGAATTTAAGTAGAGAGGAGCACAGGATTTCAAGTAGGAAAGATAGAAAATAATTCCAGAAAGAGGAAGTAATAAGAAGACAGACAGAGAAAAAGAGAAGCACAGAACTTCAGGAACAGAGATGTGTTGGCCTGGCTGGAGTGTAGCACCAATGTGGTCAGTGAGCAAAATAAAAAAAGTATGGGTTAGGTCTCACTACAGACAGCAGGAGACTGGGATTCAGGGCAATGCAGTGATAAAAAACACTTGTATTTTTCAGGCAGTAGAATGATGCAATATATTTTATGAGTATTAATCCAGCTGTTACATATAGGGCTGTTCAATGTAAAAAAAAGAGAGGAAACTGGAAGACCAGTTAAATGACTAGATTAAGGGTCAGCATTATATTTTATAGTAAATATTTATAGGTTCTTAATAATAACTAACACATTTTAAGCATTTTGTGCCAAACATTTTGCTTTGGACTTTACAAGCATTATCTCCTTAAATTTTTTCAACAACCTCATTAAATAGGTACTATTGTTACCCCGTCTTATAGATAAGAAAACTAAAGCACAGAGTATAAGTAATTTGCCAAGATCCTAACACAAGTGTAGGACAAAGTTGTGATATGACACAGGCATTCTGAATCTTGAGGGCCCGCACTTACACATATGCCTGCATCCCCTGTTACTGGGTCTTTAATTATCCTCCTGATGATTGTTTTTATTGTATAATTACATAATCCATCAATAAATCTATTTCATAGACATGAGCCATTTAAAAATATTTGTGACATATTTTGATGAATGAGAATTTTTCACTGTATTTGGTAGAAAATACAATGAAAATTGAAAGCAAAGTTTCTTGCTATTCATGGCAAAATTTAAAAAATACTAGCAACTTAAAGAAAAAATTTTTTAATTTAAAAAGCTCAAAGCAGACTTCAAGTGGCATCATCAGAAATGGCATAGTAAATACCTCTGAAAATCCTTTCTTCTGTAAAAGCAATGATAACATTGGCAAATATGTCAAAATCAACTTTTACAGAATGCTGAAAATTAACCAAAGACTTGCAACAATCAAAGAAGCATTTATGCAAGAAAAATAATTAAACCTTGGTAATAACAGTAGGCCTTGTGAATGTCTTAACTTGTCCTAATCCCATTGCCTTCTCTCCAGCTCTGTGGTAGCCCTAAAAACCAACAGCCCCACAATCACAGTGAAAATCAGCAGGCTAGATCCCTCTGGATGGGGTCACAATAAGGTTGGAGCTCTTTCTAAACCTCATTCTCAAAGAATTTCTATTATTTGACCTTTTAAAAAACCTCACTTGGAAAGCTTGCCTTTATATAACCTGATTCAGAGCTCTCTCAATGCAGACTTTTCCCTGAGAGTGTTTTGTTTGTTTGTTTTTTGCCAATTTTTTTTATTGAAAGGTAACTGATTATATATTTTTGGGGGGTACAGAATCGAAATCAATACATGTGTACAATATGTGGTGATCAAATCGGGATAATTAGTATACTCATATTTATAAAACATGATCAATCTTTGTGACCCTTAACTAGTTTTTTGCCAACCCCCCTTCCTCTCCCCCTTTCAGACCTCTAATAACCAGTTTGTTCTCCTTTTTTTTTTTTGAAAGTTTAATGCATTACTGTGATTCATTTTTTTCTTTCTTTCTTTTAGCTCCCACATATGAGTGAGGACATGTGGTATTTCTTTCTCTGTGCCTGGCTTATTTCACTTAACATAATTTTCTCTAAGTTCATCCATGTTGCTGTGAA